AGAGTTGAATTACATCCCTGAAGTTGGTTCTAGCACCAGCAAGATGTGATGCTACTGGCTGAGTCTCTGGGCACTCTGCATACCTTGATGTTTAAGGGAAATGCTGAAATCACGAAATGCATCTAATCCAGAAACCAGAAACCATAAATACTTTCCAAAATTTTGAGTGAAGCCAAGGGTACAGATGGCAATCAAAGGCAGCCCAAATAGGTCACAGCTAGACAAAGCACCTCTCTTTTTGGGCAAAAAAGAGAGAGAGATCCTTTTTGATGTCAGTATGACTAGAGATGCAAAGGGTTTTATTAAACAGTGAAAGAAGGTTTCTTAGAAATAAGAGGCTTTGCAAAGCCACTTAAGAAGTGGGGGTGAGAGAGATGGGAACATCGTATGATAGAGAATCTGTCTCTGAGAAATGGTCAGGGAAGAACGGGAAGCTGGTAGTGGTGAGTTCAATGGCAGAATGTGCAAATAATATCTCATAGTCCTTCAGAGAGGTTTGTGGGGGGTGATCACTTTTGACTTGGGAAAGTGTCCTTGGCTTCCGAAGCATCCTTAATTTCCACTGGGCTTTATGAGGTGCTTAGGAGAGTAAAAGCATGAGGGCACCAGTGTTTGTATGTGCAGCACCAGGATGAGACTGAGCACTAGCGCCCACAGGGCCCTTGCTGTCCAGGGCAGGTTGTGTGTGCTCGTTTGAACAGGACAAGCCTCCACTAAGAGAAATCCTATTTCACCTTGAGGGGCTGGACTTTTCCTAGTCACTTTCACTCCTGGGCAGGCACATTTGGCTAAAGGGCAATTGGCTAAAATGATTTTTACTCCGAGTTGAAATTAAGTTGTGATAATCACCATGAACTCAGATTCCTCAGGTTGCTTTATTCAAACTTCACATTCTTAGAATTGTGATTGGAGTGAAACACAATGCTAGTCACAAAGTATGAGGAGTAAAGAATAAGAGGGAGGTTCATACGAATTGCACTATCACTTGTGGATGAAGTACATGTGGCACATTGGCAGAGTGGAATCAGCCAGAAGGGGTCTATTTCGCTGTTCCCAAAGCGAGTCAAGATGGAAAAACACTAAAGACAACTTTGAAAGATTGGTGGGACCTGGTTTAGTGGCCTTAGTAGAAGATTAGCAGTTACATGAAAAGGTTTGATCTCCATTCTCCATTAAGAAATAATAATAAAAAAAAACATTTCCTGGACTCAGTGCACAGCCCTGAAAGGTAAATGATGATGAAAGGAGAGGATACCAGTGATAATGAAGAGATGATTTCATGTCTATGGAGTCATTAGTATTTTCCAGACACTGTGCTTCATGAACAGTAAATGTCCCATATTGACCTTATGAGTTAGGGTTGCCTGTTTTTAGCCTTTTTTCTTTTTTTAATAAGAGAAGAAACTGCTGTTCAAAGAAGTTAAAATGCTACTAAGTGGCATAAGTGGAATTTGAATCAAGATTCTACATTCTACAGAGATAGAGTGGGGAACAGAACAGGCAAACTGAGTGAAATACACTGCTGAGGGGAGCAGCGGGCGAGACAGGAGAGGTCCGCTACGCCATGTGGGTATCTCCCTGGCCTGGCCAGGATCGAACCTGTGCTGCAAAGGCTGCGGACAGCTTCACAGTACAGTGCTCAACCCCCTGCGACTCCAGAGAAGCCCAGAGAAAGGAAGGTTTAAGTGGGCAGTATCCTAAGAAGTGTGTCTTACTGAAAAGCACAGTCTTACCTCCAAAGTCTGCATTGTAGGAGGGATGGTAGGAGACGGTTATTGGTCATAATTTTAGACATATTTACGTAACACTGTGTTCCTGGGCAGCACACAGCAGTGGGACCATCTTCCCAAGCTCTGCACTCAGCCTCACAAAGACATGGTGCCAATTCCCCTTTCCCTAAAGACAACTCTGTCAGTGGGTGATAGATGTTCAAATAAGATTTCTGTATGATTTGCTCTCTAATTTTTCTTCAGGAGCATTTCTAGTTCAGTGACTAAAAAACAAATCAATCACTGAGTAGAAATACAGCAGAATTTAGACCTACTAAACAGAACTACTCTAACATTGAGAAATTTGGTTTCAAGGAAAACACCATTTACCCAAAACTCAATGATTAACACATAACATAGGCAACTTAAGAGGCTGATGATGTTCAGCCATTCCAAATTTAGAGTGTCCATATTAGGAAGCAAATAGTTGTCATAATATTTTTATCAGTACCACTCAATATTTAAAAGAGAATTTCTAGCGATTTTAAGATTGCTTGCAGCTGGAAGTCCATGTCAGCCTATTAGATTGTTAAGGATTACCAAGTGACAGCACCTGTAGGGGCGTAGCAAACAGCCAGTTATAAGGTAGTGTGGGGGAGAAAGCTGAACCTCTAACAGTGGCCTCAGGCATCAATACATCATACTGGTCTTAAGATGACCTCTGTTTGCCAAGTCTCTGCTTACAGTCAGGACACACTTAGGATAGGCTTGCAAAGTACTCACTGAGGATGTCCCTCCAAATCCTTAATTTAGGTCTACTAAACAGAACTTCAAGCCTCACCATAGGATCAAGACTCACCATAGGATCAAGTTAAACTCACTCTAACTTGAAGACTATGGAGTAGCTCACAATAAAAATTTTAATTTAGCCAGCCCCAAACTAGTCTAAACAAAAATATCCATTACAATTTTTTTTCCCAAAAAACTGGAAACTTAAGACTCAATTTCAAAATCAGAACTTGGTCAAAGAAATCCAAATACAGATAGACCATGACAGGTGCTTTTTGTATGAAACCTCCATTCTGGTTGATCAATAGCAAGGGCCTTTTGTTCAACTACAAATTATTTTTCTAACAAAAGCAAAGCTTTCCGAGTCAGGTCTGCTTACCTTTCAGGCAAATACAAATAACTTCTTGTGAACTCTTCATCCAGTAACTCTTGGGACTGAGCCTATACTCAAAGGCAGGAGGCAGAGAGAGGAGATTTTAACCTGGAACTTATGTCTAGTATGAGTTTGTAGAATGTTCATCAATTTAATCAAAATCACACCACTCTTAGGTATTGTAGGAGCAGGAAGGGCACAAAGCAGGATCTCTATGCTCTGTGCAGATGGGTCCTGGAGCCCTCAGTGGCTTTAGTGGCTTTTCAGACTTTTATTGCCATTTTACCAGGTGCACGGCAAGCAGGGGCGAATCTTTACTCTATCTGGGTTCCCCAGTGTTCTCTCGTGGTCTCATTCTCTGTCTTCTGCTTCTCTTTCATTCTTCTTGTTCTCCTTCTGCTCATTCTGTTCCCCGTGACGCCGCCCTTATAGGCCCAGTCTCAGCCCAAGTGTACCCACCTACGTATGCCCACACCTCATTCCAAGCGCCCACCATCACGCATGCATTCAGGACCGCAGGGATTCATCATTAATACTAATGGCAGGAGGGCAGAAAAGACTGATAATCATTTACCCACAGGCAACATTGTTGTTGCTTGCTGTTTCTAGAATCTGGTGTCCTGACTTCTACCACATTCACAGGAGGAGTGCCCTGCCCAACAGCGCCTGCATCACTATCACCTGGAAGCTGTTAAAAATCAAGGCCCCTTGGCGCAGCAGACGTCTCCTGTCTCGCCCGCTGCTCCCCTCAGCTGTGTACTTCATCAGTCTGCCTCTTCTGTTCCCTGCTCTGTCTCTGGTGGGTCCTCTCACCCTCCCACGCGTTTGGCCTGTACCCGGGTTCTTGTATAAATAAATAAATCTTTAAAAAAACAAAATCAAGGCCCCTTCCCAGATCTACAAAATTAGAAACCCTCAGGTGAAGCTTTGTCTGTTTTAATAAATCCTCCAGTTGACCCTAACATTTGCCAAAGTATGAGAACTACTATATCATGACATCCCCTTAAATCAAGCTCTAAAGACAACCAAAGGAAAAAAAAAATCCACCTCATTATCAAATCAAAGTGGTTGAAAAAAATTACAGTGGGGTGGAACATAGCAAAACATAGCTACTGTTGAGGAAGAGATGGACGTATTTGAACACCACGAGTCATTTTTGGCAGGTGAATGGGCTCTTACCCTTATCAAGATATATTGTTAAAAATATGAAAAATATTAGGCATCTATGTTCCCAGAAAATGACTAAAGCCAGGATTATTTTCTGTTTTAATACTATTTCCAGGTTATCTGTAATGCTGCTTGTACATTCGTAAATTTACCTACTGAAATAATGTTCAGGGTTCTACGTTTCCTTAGAGAAAATATAAAATATCTCTTACATTGTTTATTCCCATAAACATACAGTTAAATCTGTGCATGTTTATGTATTCATCTACTGCCTGAATCAAGCTTTGTTATTTTTAAAATTTTTGAACTTCATCTTTTGTTTCCAGTTTTCCTTGCATAGAACAGATTTCAGTGGGTGATTATATAGAAAAATGTTGACATGTAATTCTTCAGGCTCCCCAAGTTTGCTTATTTATGAGCATTTATGAGCCAGTGGGTAATACTTTCAGCTGAAGAATATTGGTTTTCTGAGTGTCGATTTAGAACCTGACATTTGGAAATACATGGTAATACAAACCATCACCTTAAATTAGTCTTTATTATTTGTTTGTAATTTAGTTTGTTTATGGTTTGTAATTTCACAGAAAAAAATATAATGTTGACATCAAAGAAATTGCAACAGATTTTATCCCAGCAGGCATCTGACCACTTCAAATACTACAAACATTCTTTATTAGGGAAACAATATCTTTTTAAAAGTTAACTTGAAACAACTTAGAATTTACTAATTACTAAAAATGGTATGAGTTCCATTATGGTGTTGGAGTTTAAAATGAAAATTTCAATTGAAGACAAACTGACATTTATATACTACAAAAATGACACCATTACATTATAAAATTAATGTTAAGGAATTGAAAGATACATGCTTCATCTGATAAAAAATAATTTGAAAATCACTACAGAGTAAAACAAAACAAACAAAACAATGCCACATAAATTCATTTTGAAGGGTTCTGAGACTCAATTTATATTGTAATATTTTGCTCATATATAGCCAAGAGTAAGAGAGAAATCCAACCTACGACCAATCCAAAGTTCTGTAGGAGAAACATCAACCAGGGTCGCTGTGTTTGAACATGAGTCATTTCAGGAAGCTAAAAAAAGAATAAAAAAGCAGAATAAGATCCAGATATATTCACTGCTGGGAAAAGTTTGGTGGGAAAACACAAGTGACTGTTATTCAAAACTTAATAACCTTTAAACTTCCCCAAACAAGATGCTTCATGCCTACTCTTACCAAAATCTTTAAATGGGAGATAAATTAAGCCATCTGACTGTGGTTAGAAGGAATCATTTATTGCCAGAAGTCTTAAAAATGACACAGTTATCAACCAAAAGCAACTCAACCATTTACATTTTGTTTTTAGAAAATGCTTAAATATGAACTAGGTAATAAATGAGAGGTATTACTTTTGACTGTTCTGTTAGATTTATGAAACTTGCTGTATGCACTGGTTATTACACAGCACATATTTATTTCTTTTCAAAGAGATGACCAAGGTCTTCCTGACCTTTGGAACAATAAAGGCATCATCTCCTAGGGCTATATTTTATTCTCAGAGAGACAAGTGGCAACTATCTTATGTCTGTGAAATGCTTTATCACCATTTAGAGGAAAATATTCTCTCAAACATCTGTGTGAGGTGCTTCAGTGAGTTTCTCTCTAGCATTATGTCCAGTCCCTCACCCTGAGATCACAGTGAGTATATTGTGATCATGGCATAATCATTTCTGTTGAAAGACAGACTCAGGTCAACATGGGTTGGAAACAGCTCAACCTTGGAATTGTTGGACTGGATATTTCTTTATTGTGGGGGCTTTCCTGTGTGTAAGATGTTTGGCAGTAGCCCTTGTTTCTACCCAGTAGATGTCAATTGTACCTCTTGGCCCCAATCCTAACAAACCAAAAATATCTCCAGACTTTGTCAAATAGTCCCTGGAGAGTAAAAATCACCTCTGGTTGAGAAGGTCAAGCATATAAAATACGCAAAGGTTTTAGATTTATGACAATGGAAAACAGGTTGACAAAATTATTTTTTTTAAGATTTATTTATTTATGCATACAAGAATAGGGGTACAGGCCAGAGGTACAGGAGGTGAGAGGATTCACCAGAGACAGAGCAGGGAACAGAATAGGCAGACTGACTGAAATACACTGCTGAGGGGAGCAATAGGTGAGTCAAGAGAGGTCTGCTGTGCCATGTGTGTAGCTCCCTGGCCAGGGATTGAACTCGTGCTGCAGAGGCTGCGGTTAGCTTCATAGGTTGTGTATTAACCCATTCTGCCACCAGGGAGGCCCCTACAAAATTATTTTTTAATGCCTGTACAGGAACATCCTGAATATTCTGTTCGTGTATGCTTAAGATGGCTATTTCTGCTTAGAAGTGACAAATTTGAAGGGGTAAGGATTAGCATTGCTGTGACCTATTATCTCACATCACAACATGGGGCAGTGAACTTAAGGACACAGTAGGATCTAGACTTTTTATCCTGAATAGAGCGCCTTTGACAAATCATGTGCTCCTTTGATGTTTTTCTGTCATGTGTAAACATAAGGTTAACCACACCACTTTAGAGAAATCCTATATGATTCATCACATGTTTTTAAAAAAAAATGTCATTTTGAAAAACCACAGAATGTTCTCAAAGAACTCATAATTAATGGCACTTGTGAGGGGTTAACAAAACACATGCACTGGGTTTTCCTAATACCTCTGATTCTCAATAGTTTTTAAGTAATTTCTAGTAATTTAGTACAAGGATAGACAACATAGGCAACCAGTTTCCTTCTGTTTCAGAAATTTACATCTCAGGCTATATCTGTAAGATGAAATTACACCATCTCAGGTCATAAACAAGCTCAACTTTTGATTAAACTTACTCTAAATACTGGAATAAGACATTGTGTCTTTCTTTCCCCTCCTTGTTTCTCCAACAAGATATTTAATATACACTTCTGCTGTCTCTAATACCTGACTCCTCATTGTTAATAAAACAATAGAAGCCGTTTCTAGAAAGATTTTCCTGGCAAATACTCATAAAATGTGGATCGTTTAGATACCATCATAATCATGTTGAAAAATGCTTCAGACAAGATATAAGCATGAAATGGCTCAGATCAATAACAGAATTTGAACTGAATTTTTATTTATTTATTTATTTTTTTAATAGAGGCATGTTTATTTTTATTTATTTATTTGTTTGTTTGTTTGTTTATACAAGCACTGGGTACAGTCAGAAGCGCGGGAGGGTGAGAGAATTCACCAGAGCCAGAGCGGGGAGCAGAGCAGGCAGAAGGACCGAAGTACACTGCTGAGGGGAGCAGCGGGCGGCAGGAGAGGTCTGCACACCATGTGGGACCCTCCTCCGGTGGCCGGGGAGCAGCCGGGGATTGAACCGGCGCCACAGGGGCCGCGGGCAGCTTCGCAACCCAGCGCTCAACCGCTGCGCCACCGGGGAGGCCCTGAACTGAATTTTTAGATCATCAACCTCTTAATGAACACACATTTGAGGAAACTCAAATGTATGTTTTCCCTCTTTGCTTCAAACTTCCACCCAAGATCTTAGGTTGTTAAAAATTAGATATTGATTAAGGTAGATAGGATAGCCAAAAATTTCTAGATACAGCACAGAGATAAAACTAGTGTCTTGGCAATTTCTTCAAAAAATCTCAATCAGTCTCTGTTCTTACTAAATCTAAAAATGACACAATTTTTAAAAACAATTCTCTCTAACCTATGCTTACAGAATTGCTGTTTGCTTATAGTACCTAATACAGGATAGACTTGGATACATGTGTTTCTAAAAGTTTTTAAGCCCTGCGAATGCACTCCAAATGGGAAAACCAAGAATTTTGTGTTCTGAATATGTACATGTCATTGTCCACAAAAAAATATGAGTATTTCACAATTCTAGGAGCCACCAACCAGTTCACATGGAATATAGCGACTTCTGGGGAGTTTTGCAACAGTCACGCTGCCTTTTTTTTTTTTTTTTAATAAGCGACTATGATAACTTGCCATCTATTTAGATGTGCCTTCTATCAGCTCATCTTTCCCTCATGGTTTTTATTATGCTTTGGGTGAAGATCTGATATAAGAGAAGTTGATATCCATGAAGCCATTGTTAAAACAGCCAGGGAGCCATTATAAAGAAGTTACATTACTTGTCTCTTTTGAACTAGGTCAAAGATGTTTGAAGTAGGCCAAAAGCAATTGTTTTAATCAAGCAAACAGTTGAGAGCTGATGGTTATGTATCAATACATTTAGCCTGAGAGTAGACTACGTTCCCTTTACATCTTTTCTAGAAATTCAGCTACTAATGATGGAAAGGCAAGAATAGTTCAAGCCTGTTAACACTTATCAACTTTTTTCTTTAAACACTTATTACATCTTCCTTTTTAGTTCCCATAGATTGCCCTGACATTGTCCCTCCAGGTAGAGGGAAAGTTTTAGGTTTTTCTACCTAAATTTGTGTATCTTAAATTATAATTATTTGATCCTAAATAAAAATAAATACCCTTTGTATTTTTAATTATATCCTGAATTTTTAGATTGACATATGTAATACTCACTTTCATTGGGATCTATTTTATCATGTTTTTTCCTATATTTTCTATTTTTAATATTTTAAATATAAACATTTATATTTTAGAAATAAAATTATTGACTCTTTAATTATGAGGAAACATGGACTGCAGATCCATAATGGGGCCTCCCTGGTGGCGGAAGGGGTTGAGTCGCAACCTATGAAGCTACCTGCAGTCTCTGCAGCGCAAGTGCGACGCAGCAGACCTCTCCTGACTCGCCCGCTGCTCCCCTCAGCAGTGTATTTCAATCTGCCAGTTCTGTCCCCCACTCTGCCTCTGATAAATCCTCTCAACCCCACATCTCTGGCCTGTACCTCAGCTTTCATATGCATAAATAAATCTTTTTTAAAAAAAGATCCATAATGACTTACCCAGTGTCACATGAATGTGATGTCAGAAAGAACAAAAAGTCAGGTTATCTCACTATAGTAGAGGACATACACAGTCCTATAAATACCAACTCTCTGTCTGAAATTCATCCCTGTCTATTATAGCCAGCACATTTCTACTTAAGTAGGAAAAAATGTGAAATGCTAAACAGAAAAATAACCAACAGAAAATAGTCACTGCATGTGATGAAAAAAATAATTCAATATACAGATATCATGCTATCCTTGTCATGAAATATATCATGGTATTGGTTGTTTTTAAGGCAGAAATATGCACTAAAAAAGTATAAAAACAGACTTAACTTTGTAAGCCTCTAGAAACAGACAAACAGTTGTAGGAGAGAAAAATAATTTTCCCTTTACTGTTCTAAGTTCTTGACTGAGACACTTCCTGTGATAAAAGATAAATTAACAGGAGAAAAATAAGATTTAACTAACACATACAGCTTTTATACATATGGAAGAAACTCAGGAAAACTGAATAACTCTTGCTACAGTAAGGGAGAAACATTTACAAATAGAGATTTTTCCCTTGTACATGTAAATGTCCCTTATTTTCCCTATGTCTGCTCCTTCTTAAAAATAACAAGCTCAAAATAATTCTTTATGCCAAAGAGGAATATTTTGGGGTGACAAGTTCTGCTACCCTTCACATGAAAACCAATGTTTCAAAAGGTTCAAGAAGATTCTCATGCTGATGTAGAGGTTTTTATATTAGTTTGGGTGGCCTAGATAAATTTTCCATATCGACACATAAGTGGGTGGGTTTGGTAAGAAAACCCAGCTAAGCTTGCTTTTGAAACAATACGCGACTCTCTTTCTGATGATTATGGATGAACGTATGAACCATAATATCTCCTGGGTACATAGCAAAATACCAAAGAGTCTTACAGAAAGTCTTTCCAAAAGATACAAATATAAAATGCCAAAACTTAAAGCATATCTGATTGCAGCATTTCATTTGTTCTGAACCTACCCATTTAGTTTTATTATTTTATTCAGCAAGTTTTGACAGAAAATAAAGGTATGTATAAACTGATTTTCAAGCATATATGTTTGTTTTTTTCTGTTTTCAGAATTACCGACAAGAGTCTAAGTGCTACCATTTTACACTGG